TGGTGAATGGTATTGTTTCCTTAATTTCTCTTTCTGTTTTCTCATTGTTAGTGTATAGGAATGCAAGAGATTTCTGTGTGTTAATTTTATATCCTGCAACTTTACTGTATTCGTTGATTATCTCTAGTAATTTTCTGGTAGAGTCTTTAGGATTTTTGACAGTCTCTACTGTATGTGTAACTAGCTTCTTTTTTTATTTTACTTTATTAGTGATTTATGTGTGTGAGTGTAGTTTTTTTTGTTGCTGTTTTTTTTTTTTTCCAGCAGAGAAAGTTTTATTGCAAGGTCATGCAATGAGACAAGTATAATTTTTAAATCCATCATTGTTTTCATACTCAATCTTGTCAGAAGTTTGTTCAGTCATTTTTAAAAAAAAAAATTCTAGTTTTGTTGACTTTTCTATTGTTTCTTTTCTGTAGTTTATTAATTTCCCTCTGATTTTTTTCCTAGAGAAGGAAATGGCTACCCATTCCAATATTCTTGTCTGGAGAATTCCATGGACAGGGAAGCCTGGTGGGATACAGTCCATGGGGTTGCAAATAGTCAGACACAACTGAGCAACTTTCATTTTTACTGATTTTTCAAATTTCCTTTACTATTCAGTTTTTGATGGAGGGGGTTACTTTGTTGCTCTTTTCCCAACTATTTGAGTTGGATGTTTAGCTTACTAATTGAATCTTTATTAGGTTCTGTTATATGCATTATAAAACATTTCCTTTAAGTACAGCATAGCTGCATCCCCCACATCTTGATGTATGCATTTTCATTTCTTGCAGTGCAAAATATTTTATAATATTTATTAAAATTATTTTATTGATTCATGAACTATTTCTGAACACAGGGGAGCTTGAAGTGTTACTATTATAGGGGGTCAATTGGGATCTAAAAATGTCCTTTAAATTAAGCTTACTAGTCACACTCTTTAGAACCTCTACTGTCTGCCTGTAATGTGACTTTTCTAAAGGTTGCTTTTTAAAAATTGGATATTTAATTATCTTAAATACTACACAGTGTTTTTAAAAATTCTTTTTAAGATTTTAATTCTATTACTTCAAGTTCTTGAGTATCTAGTCTTATATTTATTATGGGTTCTGCCTTTTGCATATGGTAGGTTTCTCCTTGTGGATTTTGAAATTTTTAATTGGTTAGTCTATTTTTCTTCCCTGAATGCCTTGTGGCATTACTGGTTTTGTTTTTTCTAGGACCCTCAGATTTATCACTGGTATAGGATCAAATTTTGCTAATTTCTCAACTCTAGGAGTTCCTAGAAAATGTGGGTAATTTAGCCCTGGGTCTGTCTGGGCCTTCTATTTCCCCAAGGAGACATTTTTACTCATCTAGAATTCAGAGACAGACAAACTTCTTATTTATCTGTACTTATAGATTTTTCTCTAGTCTGTCTTTTTAGTGGCTATCACTTTTTGAGTGTTCCAATTTGAGGGTTCTTAATTCCAATTCTCCAGTCTTGCCTTGGGTCCAGCATCTTATTTCTTACAGTTTTAAAACTAAAGTCATTGTATTATTCACCCTGTGGTAACCACAGCATCACTAGATTCTAAGCTACTACTCTGGTTGTATGCTCCTTTGTGGCATCTTAAAATTTCCACTTATTTTTTTTCTTGTGAGGCTAACAATATATTTTTGATATTGTATTTTATCAGCAATTCTTGGTTTTTGAAGCAAATAGTTTTGTTGTTGTTTTTGATTGTTATTTTAATCTCCCATGTATCAAGAACTGGAATCATCCTTAGGATACTTTTGTTGTGAAAGATGGAAGTTTCAGGACTCCAGAAGACAGATGCCTATTTATTTTCTATTGAGTTTAACATTCCAACAATATTTAGATAGGCCTGTTATTGCTGTCGGCCTGAAGGAGCCATCCTCACTGCTGGTGTGGTTCTTGTGTAAAACCATGGTAGGGGCCAGCAGCCTGTAGTGGAATCACTGGAAGGAATCTCCAGGCAGTGAGTGGTTCTCACAGAAGGAGGAGATGTTTTTATCTCTTTGTTAAAATACCTCTCCTGTGGCTAATGGTGAAATTTACTTGAACTGCTTTCCTGGTGAAGTTCCCTTTGACTTTTGCCCTTCGGAATATGCCGTTATAAGATATTTCTTTACTTATTCTAGAAAGAAAGGACTCTCCCTGGTTAATAGAAAGAGCAAGCAGGATTCTCAAATGAAGGGCCTTCAGGAGAGAATTTTCCTGTTATTCATTCTCTCTATTCAAATACACAGATATCTTATGGGGAAATATACAAAGGCTTTCATAGGCATTCCTTGTTTAAAAAAAATGATCATATTGATTAAAGATCTCTTTTCCTGTAAATAGAAATAATTATTACACAGCAAATGCCAGGAAGTCCAAGGGCTTTCCCATAACAACCAGGAGTAATAACATAACCATAAGAGCTATAATTTCAGTCTTATAAGTGCTAAGCATTGTCTTGATGCTAGGAATCCAGAGATAGCAGCTGATGGTCTTTGCCCTCTAGGAATCCACTGACTAGTAGAGATGAATAAACAGTTATTGAAGAATTAAATAAATGATACTATCAGTTTTTTGAAAATTGATGAATTAGTGTTTACCAAAATTAAAAATGTTTGGTCTTCAAAAAACAATGTTAATAGAATAAAAATACAAAGCACAGATTGGGAGGAGAAAATATTTGTAAATCATATATTTGATAAAAGACTTGTATAAAAAATATATTTAAAAACCTTCAAAACATAATAATGAGAAAAAAATGAAGATTTTTAAATGGGCAAAAGATTTGAAGAGACATTTCACCAAATAAAATAAATGGATAGCAAAAAAGCACATAAGATACTCAACGTCATTAGTCATTAGAGAAATGCAAGTTAAAACCACAATAAAATACCATGACAGACCTATTAGAAAGGCGAAAATGAAAAAGACTGACCATGTCAAGTGTTGGCTAGAATGTGGAGAAACTGGAAATTTCACACATGCTGGTGGGAACATCAAATGGTACAATCACTTTGATGAACATTGTTAGTTTCTAAAAATAAATTCTATTTTCACCTACCATATATCTGTTACATTTCTAGGTATTACCCAAGAGAAATGGAAATAATGTCTATAAAAGAGATTTATATACAGTGTTCATAGAAGCTTTATTTGTAATATCCCCAAGGAAATATCCCAAATATCCACCACCAGGTGAATGAATAAGCCAGCTGTAGCACATCCATACAGTGGAGCACTGCTCAGCAAGAGAAAGAAATGAGCAAAGACACACGTGAGGTGGCTGAGTCTCAAGTACGCTGTGTATGAGAGAGAACAGGCAAGATAGAGTATGTGAGTCCACTTAATAAAACTCTAGAAAGTGAAAACTAATCTACAGTGATTAAAAAACTGATCAGAGTTGACCTGTGGATGGAGGTGAGAGAGAGAAACTATAAAGGATCACACAGAAACTTTTAGGGTGGTGAATTTGTTTATTATCCTGATATGGTGATACTTTCAGGGGTGTATACCTGTGTCAGAAATGTATGAAGTTGTTCACTTTATTTTACTTTTTAGTTCCCGTGCTATACAGTAGGACATTGTTGGTTATATATTTTATACTTGGTAGTGTATATATGTTAATCCCAAACTCTTAATTTATACCCCCTCCCCACCCCTGGTAACATTAAGTTTGTTTTCTTTGTTGTGATTCTATTTCTGTTCTGTAAATAAGGTCATTTGTGTCATTTTTTAAGATATCATATGATATTGCTTATATGTGGATTTTAGAGTATTTATTTTAAATATGTGCGGTTTACTGTAGGCCTCAATTTGTGATGTTCACGCACTAAGTCATATCTGACTGATTGAACCCCATGGGCTGTAGCACACCAGGCCCCTCTGTTCTCCACTGTCTCCCAGAGTTTGCTCAAATTCATATCCACTGAGTTGGTGATGATACTATCTAGCCACACTGAGGTTCCTTAAAGATAAAGTGCCTTGGAAATGGTGAGTTCAGAATTCTCTCAATAGACAGTACACAGGAGAGTCCCTTAAATGAAATGACCCAGCAGTCAGGGAAGATGGGACGCCTGGCCTGAGATTTGGAATTTGAATCTGTTATTCAAGGTAGGGTGTGAAGAAGAGCAGGCATAAGGGGAGCTCTCCATGTGGAGGCTACACCAAATGTGAAGGTTCCAGAGCACATAAGCGTGTGACGTGTTTAGAGACCTGGAGGTGGATTGGCTCCGGGATACTGGGTCGGGTGGTGGATGGGGATAGAGTAGGGGGGTGAGGGGGTGTTTGGAGAGGAGAGCCAGGCGATGGCTTTCAGATTCCTTTGCAGTGCTAAGGGAAATTAGAAATTCTCATGAAATTCTCACTATAATAGGCCACTCACTGGTGTGACCAGCTTGTCCAGGCATCCCCATCCCTGAACACAAAGTGAGGTCACCCTTCCATTTATGTGCAAACTGCAGTGGTAACCCCTTGCATGCCCAGTGTCCCCAGTTACCCAAGGGAGTCTCTTTCATTTATTTGCTCCCAGAAGAGTCTTCGTGTTCTCCGTTTTTTTTCCCAAGACACTTTTGACATGTACTGCCCAGCAAGCTGACCTGAGAAGCTGCATTCATTTTCCTATTCTTGTTTTGGAGTTCTGTCCACTGGGAGAACTCCAGAATTCAGTCTAAACTTACTGAAGGCTGTTGTTGTTGTTTAGTCGCTCAGTTGTGTCTGACTGTTTGTAACCTCATGGACTGTAGCCCACCAGGGTCCTCTGTCCATGGGATTTTCCAGGCAAGCGTATTGGAGTAGGTTGCATTTCCTACTCTGGAGGGGGGCAGGGGGCGGTCTTCCCAACCCAGGGATCAAACTTGCATCTCCTGCATTACAGGCGGGTTCTTTACCACTGAGCCACCAGTGAAACATGGGTCTGCCCAAACCAGTCTCAGAGCAGGGGGAAAACTTACTGTGCTTTTGCAAGAATGCCGTTCCTCAGAATCTCCCTTTCTTTGTAGGATCAAGTTAGTGTTGCTTACGAGAGACATTTTGCTTGAGGTTTAGAAGGCAGGAGGGAAACAGCAGCCGTTCTTCCCACTGCAATGGTGAGCATCACTGATCTGCTCTCTGGCTGGGGCAGCTCCCTCCAGGTCCTCTGCTTCTGGGCATCCCTGGCCAGGTGCATGTGCAGCTTGGAAGTGGAGGTGGCTCTTGTCTCCCGCAAATCACCCAGGGCATGGAAACTGGAGGTGATGGAAGATGGATGCAGGTCTCAGTTAGTTCTTGTAGGTTCCAGTTTGTCCTTGCTCTTGTCCACATACAGTTTTTCTTCTTGACAGACAGTCTAGCTGATCTATAGCAACTTCAAGTTTAGCACCAGACACAGGCAACCCCTGGAAGAGGCCACGGTAACCCGCTCCAGTACTCTTGCCTAGAGAATCCCATGGACAGAGGGCCCTGGTGGGCTGCAGTCCATGGGGTCGCAATGAGTCAGACATGACTGAAGCGACTTAGCAAGCACTCACAAAGGCCATCTATCTCGTTTCCCATGGTTGGATGAGGTCTGACCCCTGTAATAAATGCCTTATTCCACATCACTCACAGTGATTCTGCTTCTCTGGACCCCAAGACAGGTTCCCAGCCGACTTGGGACTACCTGGGTCTAGGAGAAGCTCTGCTTTGCTGAAACCTTATAAAAGCTGGTGAGAACAGGGTCTAGTGTTTGACCGTCACCTTCATAACCAGAGTCTCAGACCACAAGGCTGATGGGGCTAGAGGTCCCAAGACAAACTCCATTTTCTTCTCTTTTCCCAGCCCCACCCCAACCAAATGCCTTTTTCTCCTTCCCCCTTCAGCCCCCCACCATGCCACCCTCCCCGCACCCCACCCCTGCCGCCCCAGTTAGTCACAACAAAAGCTCCCTGCGTGTCCATGGGCGTGAACAGATGTTCCGTGTGGGCGTGAGTACTGGTGGAGGGTGCTCGGCTCGCCACACCAGCTGCCTCGGGCCCGCTCCCACCGCCCCCACTGCCCTCCCAGCCGTGAGCAGCTCCTCCCCGAGGCTTTGATTCTCCTGTTCAAAGAGTCCCAGCAACTTGACCCTTTTCTCATATGTCTTTGTTTGCCCTCATTTCCTGTCCGTGGTGGCGTGCCAGAATTCTGGGATGGATTACAAGGCCTGTGTGCACATGGAGTGGAATAGGGGAGCGAGCCATTTCCCAGCTTTGGAAGCCCCATGCAACCATGCATCTGGTAAACTTGAGTCTATGGTGCCTACAGCAAGTGAGAAAATTCTGAGGAGAGGAGAGGATGGATTAGAAATGGGTCATCAGAGGATCTGCTCGTGAATCTTCGTATGTGGGCCTCTCAGATTCTGGACAAGTCTCTTTCTGTCCTGTCTCTGACAAGAAGGTCTTGCAAAGTTATTTCCTTCACTCTGTAAATAAAACAGAGAATGTGCTCTGAGACCTGGAAAGCCATGTTATCTGGTGCAGCCATTTCTTTTTTTTTGTCTGCACCGCAAGGCATGTGGGATCTTAGCTTCTTGACCTAGGATCTAAGCCGTGCCCCCTGCAGTGGACACACGGAGTCTTAAGCACTGGTCTACTAGGGAAGTTCTCTGGTTCAGCCATTCCTAAACCTAACTGGTCAGGGCACCCCCTCAGGTGGGTTACTGTTCCTGCATATGTGTTAGAAGCCAGCACAGCTTTCTGGCTCTCTCTTCCTCTTCACAAGATTTTAACTCAGTGGTCTGGACTGGGACCTAGAATCCCCATTTGAAAAACAAAACAAAGAAACAAAACTCTGTAGGTTATTCTGAGGAAAAGCCAAGTTTGGAAACACTGGATCCAGTGAACTAATCCAGTGAAGGCAAGGATTGTACAAAGTTTGGGGTTCTGTCTCCAAAGCCAAGGAAAATGGAAATAATTATTCAGATAATTCTAGCACAAAACCATGTTTTTATTAGAATTATGTGAACCACGAGTAACTCTTTCTGAGATATTTGGGTGGAAAACGACCGGTGAAGCAAAAATCTTAATCTATTTCAGCTCTAACCAGGTTTCTGGAGAAGGTAACAGTGGCAGGAGGGTGACCAGAGAAGGATGCATTGCATTTTCCGAGCAGTTTTGCTCTCGGTGTGGTGTCCATGTGTTCTGGATGAGCTATAAGTTTCTTCATGTGTGCTTAATGCTAAGTACTCATATTTCACTAACCACAGATCCCCATTTCTGGCATGCAAAATGATGCCTGTTGCTTATAATACACCCTGCTTTGGCTAACCACAAGAGGATAGATTTGGGGACACCTTTCCATTTGTGTAGGATGTAAAAATTCTAATGCACCTTTCAATGTATAATTTTAGGTCGCCATTAGTTGCTGTGTGATTAAGATGGCTTCATGTCCCAGATGCTTTGGGGGGAACCAGAGATCTTAGTATGCTGTCCCATTGTCTCTCTGCTCCCATCTGAGCAGTCAGCGGCCCTGTGTTTCTTGTCAAGTGTAAGAAATTGTGGCTCTGTCTTTAGAGACTGAACAGAATGCCCGCAGCCCTACTTTGGGTCTCCGCTCCAGGCTTTGCATTTGCTGGGTGGGGAATGTCTTCAATGCCAGGTTTCCTGGGAGGAAGAGCTGTAGCCTATTTTGGTTTCATGAAATATATTAGTTTGTGGCTTATTGTCCTGCTCTGGGTAGTCAGGCCCCCAGAGGATCGGATCCAGCGTTTCCTGACTGAGGCCTGCCATCATGCGGCTGGGCTGGACGAACCCCGATGGCTACCAGTGACTTTAGAGCAACCTTCCTTCAAACCTCATTCTAAAAGGAACCAGGCATTCAGAATGTGTGTTCTCTACCTGCTCAGCGGAGAAAACTGACCCTGAACTCCTAACAACTGTCCATCCCTATTTGTCTAGTTCCTGAATGAAGAAAGCAGCTGTTGCATTTTGACGGTCTCATTTGTTCTTGGAAAGATAAAGAAATTCATTCTTGCTTTGGTTTTAGTTCTTCGGGGATCAGGCAGTAGTATTTTGAACCAAAGTTTTAAAAGTTTAGGGAGATGGCCTTAAAAACAAGTCTGGTATCCATAACCTGAAAGAGAGCCTGGAATTGGAAATAAGCAAGTCCTATCTCTGGGACAGAAGTTCTCAAAGTGTGGTCCCCAAACCAGCTCCAGCAGCAGCATCTGCATCAGGGAACTTGTTATCATGTGTGTTCTCGGCGCTCAGCCCAGACCTGCTGAGTCAGAAACTCTGGGGTGGAACACAGAAATCTGTTTTCAGATGACTCAGAGGCAGGTCATATTAGAGCATCACTGTGCTGGGGAATAGAAGCCTCCATGGGACGGATGTGAAGGAGGTGACATTCAGCATCCATTTGTGGCTCTCGGTTGTACTCATCCCTCTCCTTGTGCTCAGGGAGCATATTTATTCAGTGGCTACTAGTGGGTGATGTGATGTAGGGTCAGTCTGAGTGAAGGCCTGAGAATTGGCATTTCTAATGATCTCCCTGGTGATGGTGATGCTGCCAGTCTGGGAACCACATTTTGGGAACCCTGGCTTCCCAAAAGAGCAGCAGACCCAGTAGCCGTTGTAAATTTCAGCTGGAGGGGCAGTTCAGCCTTTTCAGGATCCTCGTGGCAGGCAGTACGACCTGCTTCCGGACCCTCCCTGCCTCTTGGTGTGGGCACTCAGGAGACGTATTTATTTGAATTGAACTTCAGTCCATTATACAGAGATTAAAATAACATGCTGTGATTTCATCACCCAAAGGTTAGGCAGTTCGAAAGCCAAAACACACAAGCGATTATTAAAAAGCCTTAGAGAGAATCATCAATATTCGCAGAAATGTTGGCCGTGTGTTTAAAGGCCTGCTTCGTGCTCTGCATTGTCTCTACCTGATCAATAGTGTGTGCGTGTAGTACATTGTCCTCTGGTTTAATTTGCCATTTATAAGTTTGGTTGGTCCAATGAAGCTAAACAATCTTAGTTCAAAGAATAAATAAGAGAAGCAGCAAATCAAACTGGGTTTGTGGGAACAGTTACACAGGAAGAAACCTCAGAGCTGGGAGCAGAAGTCTTATTGCAGATCAGAGCACAAATGTTTGTGTGTATGCCATATATAGTCTTTACAGTGTTCTGTCTATACACAGTGCCCCGGATTGATCTTCTAGCCAGCATTGTCTGGGAAGGGGAGAGCTGGATTTTGCTTTGCAAAATCTGAAGTCTTTCAGAGAGAATGGATGAAGTGGCTTAGTGTGGTGACTGACACTATAAGTTCTGGGGTCAGGCAAAGCTGACTTCCAAATCCTTTATACCTTGTGGGAATCTATCTTGATCTCTCTGGATCTCATTTTCTTCACCTGTAAATTTAGGACAGTACTGTCTACTTATGGAGTGTTTTTAAGGGTCAAATGGAAAAAGGAAGGGAGGTATACAGTAGGTGCTCAATATATAGGAGCTATTTCTAAGCTCTTGGTTTCAGAGGGCTGGGCAGGACAATGCAAGGAGGAAAGCATCTATACCTACAGCCTTCATGCTCTGGTCTTCTTCTCACTCTTAAGATTGCTATGTGTTAAAATGTGAGTGCAGGAGCCCTGGATAGGGGGCACCCCCAGGACTGTGAGAGTTCTGTTACTCCCAGGATGACAGAAGTGCTGGCCAAGAGCAGCAGCATCAGATAGTCGTGTTGGAGAACCAAATGAGACTTTACTGCAGAACTAACAGTAAAGACTTGGCTGAAGTGAGACTTGGCACTTGGATTGTAAAGAGATTGTGAATAAGATGTGCTGGAACTGTGCACCTACCGTGATCTATATGCAGGGTGGGCATGTGCTAGTTACAGGTGCTGGGTTTGTTGGAGGTACTCCTCCTGGAAAACTGAGTTCAAGAGTGGTGGGGAGGCAGTTGGAAGGAAGAAGGGAAGACCTGAATGGAGGCCTCTGCAGAGGCATCAAAGGTCCAGTCTCTGTTGTGAATGGGAGAGCAAGAAGGAGAGGCCATGTCTGGAAAAAATGGGGAGAGTGGGTATGGGACACTGGAGACTGGATTTGTAATTTTTCTGAAGAAAGACCCCTCTGCATGAATCCTACCATCAAACACTTTTTATCACGGGTCACTTTTCCTACAATGTAGCCCCATTGCTTAAGGAGTTTGTAACTGAGTGAGTGAGTGAGAAGCTAGGGAAGATGTCATCTCAGTATCTGTGTGATGAATATGCAGGGGAAAGAGTTTAGGCCATGGGGTCAGATTTGGTCCTGAGTTAGAACCCAGGATTTAGGAACCTGAGTTAGGAGCCACTGGTGGCTCAGACGGTAAAGAACCTGCCTGCAGTGTGGGAGACTGGGGTTGGACCCCTGGGTCAGGAAGACCCCCTGGAGAAGGGCATGGCAACCCACCCCAGTACTCTTGCCTGGAGAACCCCATGGGCTCAGGAGCCTGGAGGGCTGTGGTCCAGAAGGTCACAAAGTCGGACCTGACTGAATAACTAACAGTAGAATCCAGAGCTTTGACTTCAAGCTGAGTGCCTTTGGGCTGGAGATGTAATGAATCTGTGACTCTGGTCTTGCTGTAAATTTGGGTTAATGATAGATGTATCTTACAGGGTGTTGTAAGGATTCACAGGATCAGAGTAAGGAAAGGAAAAGGAAAGTGAAGTCGCTCAGTCGTATCCGACTCTTTGTGACCCCATGGACCATAACCTACCAGGCTCCTCTGTCCATGGGACACTAGGGAAGCCTAAGGTAAGGAAGCCTTTAGCAAAATGACTGGTTGATGGTGAGCATTGCATAGTAACTCACGTGATGATAAAGAGCTTTGCTTTTTTTCTGCTTTGTATGGATTTTTAGCTGCGTGACCTTCACTAGGTCACCTATGCTTTCTGAGAATGAGTTGCTTCAGCTCTTTTAAAACCAAATAGCTCCAGGGATGTGCAGGGCTTCTCAGGTGGCTCAATGGTAAAGAAGCCGCCTGCCAAGGCAGGAGACGCGACTTTGAACCCTGGGTCAGGAAGATCCCCTGGAGTAGGAAATGGCAACCCACTCCAGTATTCTTGCCTGGAAAACTCCATGGGCTGGGGAATCTGGCGGGCTACAGTCTGTGGGGCCACAAAGAGCAGACACTACTGAGCATGCACGCATCCACTCGTGCCGCTGGGGGTTTTGGGTGTGTACGGACAATGTTGTTCACTAAGACACGGGTTGGAGGCAGCATGCTTGATTTAGTGCATCTGAGGAGGGCTGGGAGGGGTCTGAAACTCATCAGAAGTTTGTTTGGAAGGGAGTGTAATCTTCTGTTTTGACTGAGAGGAAATGGGGAGGGGATGTGGTGAGCAGCCAGAGGCTGGGGCTGCTGATGAGACTCCACAGTGGTGTTTCTCCAGCTGCTGGCCCAGGTCCAGGCTTGCAGGGCAGGCTGTGTTTGCACCTGTCAGTAATGTCCTCGCTTGACTTGGGGATAAGCTGCTGAGGCAGCCACAGCAACTGGGGCCTGCAAAGCAGCCCTGCCATTTAGACGGGGACCCACTTTCCAAATTTGGCCAATTTTCATTTATTAATTGCACATTTATTATAAGTACTTAACTATATTCTAGGTTTGGGGGGGATTCAACAATGAACAAATAGGTCAAGTCTTGCTTTCGGAGACCTTTTAGTCTGGTAGGGGGAAAAAGGCAGCAGACAAACAATCCCCTACATACAGGTATAACTGAGATTTTTGCCATAAAGTAAAAGTTCAGAATGGTATGAGACTGTACAGTGGGGTAAAACCTACTCTAGATTGGGGGTTCAGCAGCAGGTGGCGCTAGTGGTAAAGAACCTGCCTGCCAATGTAGGAGATGCAAGAAATGGGGGTTTGATCCCTGGGTTGGGAAGATCCCCTGGAGGAGGGCATGGCAACCCACTCCAGTATTCCTGCCTGGAGACTCCCATGGACACTCGAGTCCGGTGGGCTACAGTCCATAGTGTCGCAAAGACTCGGACACGACTGAAGCAACTTACTGTGCAAGCAGAAAGAAATGAAATGGGAATGAGTTCAGATGAGAGACATTGAACAGAAGTGGAGACAGCTTTTTGCTTTTGCTTTTTTTTTTAAACATAAATCTTCTTTTCACAGACAGGCATTTACTGTGGGAAAAGCCGTTCCCCTGCTTCCTGATACTATTGTCTGTCCTCTGAATACACACTCAATGGGCTTCCCTCTGGATTCATTGACCTCCCTTCTCAGTCACTCCTGACTCACACGCTCGTCCGGTTTGTGGGCAGCCTTCTGCTCCCTGAGCGCTTGTCTTCTAGACATTTCTCAAGGTGTCTGGGCTGCTTTTTCCACCTTGATTCCTCTTGGTGACATGACATATTGTCTTGTTACACCGGTGACACCTGTGTCTGTTCATCTGTGTGCAGTACATCTATGCAAATGTACATGTAGCATCTGCCCAACAAGAATACTGATGAGGGAGGGCTTCCCTGGTGGTCCAGTGGTTAAGAATCTGCCTTGCAATGCAGAGGACACAGGTTCAATCCCTGGCTGGGGAGCTAAGAACCCACATGCCCCACAGTGGGCCAAAATAATAATAATAATAAAAGAATATTGATGGGCCATTGAAGAAGCCAGATATGTGGATACATCTGTGTGAGCCTTTATAGATCTTATCCTCCAAACTGCTCATCCTGAATAAGTTAAAGCTGAAACCCACAGAACTTAAGGGACCACACTAATAACTGGATGGAAATCTAGGACTTTGATCATGTCTCTTTATTAAATCTTCTGCATTTATCAGGATGCTTGTTCTAAAGTCAGCATCCAATGCGTATTTTCTCACTGACTCTTTATTCCTCTAGTTGGACCTTACGTGTGCTAACGCAGTTCTTCCTTTACTCATTTCAGGCAGTGGATATGGTATGCGTTACACCTGGCCCTCCTCCCCCTGGGAGACTGATAACCTTATTTGTCAAATGAGTGTCACATTTCAAATGAACATTTATTTAGTACTAATTGTATGTCAAGGACTGTGCAAAGCTTTGGAGATAGAAAGATGGTAAGATAGATCCCAGGTGGCACTAAAGGTAAAGAGCCCACCTGCCAATGCAGGAGACATAAGAGATGCTGATTCAATCCCTAGGTGGGAAAGATCCCCTGGAGAAGGGCATGGCAACCCACTCCTCTATTCTTGCCTGGAGAATCCCACGGCCAGAGGAGCCTGTGGGCTACGGTCCATGGGGTCACAAAGAGTGGGACACGACTGAAGCTACTTAACATGCACGCCAGATAGATCTGGTCCCTGCGTTAGGGAAGCGCTCAGTGGTAGAACCTGGTAAATAAACAATGACACAGAGTGAAAATATTTATCATAAAGGGTTATACAATATGGCAACACAGAACAAACCAACAGATTTTGCTTCGGAGAACTGAAAAAGTTCATGAGTACTCTCTCACCTCACCTCCACTTTATGAGATGCCAGTATGATGACGCAATGAAAATATGTTGAAAACCAGAAAGAATTACATAGGAGCACACTTCCCACTGGTTGGTGTTGTGACTTGGGAGGCTCCAGAGAAAGATCAGAGAGGAAAATGATGGCTGAGAAAAGAAAGGAAACTGTCGTCCATCCTGATGGATCAGTAAGTTTTACACAGAAAAAACTCAGGTCTGTGGCTTAGACCAAGGGAGTTACAGACACCCAGCTTGTAAATTGAGATTTTTGTTGCAGGAATGACGAAACCTACTCATTCCCTTAACGCAGTGACCCATGGTGTTAGGCATCATTATCTTCCCATTAGAGGAAGATGGCTGGGAAGACCTGTGATAGAAGAGCAGATAGGATATCGGTGGGAATCAGACCTTTGGGATGGAAAACCCGTAGCAATGGCCGTCACGTCAGAGCTATGAGCCCTGATTTAGCTGATAAGAGGGTCACTTCTGTCCTTGTTCTCTGGCATCCTAGAGTCACAGAGATTTGAATAGTGTGCTGTTTTGAAATAAGTGGTTTGCAAACATGAGCAGCTGTCGTCATGAAAGCACACTGTTCAGAGAATTATTCCTTGGTTAGGGTACACAATAGCATGGGTCAAAGGGCATTGCCAAAAGCAAAATAATTATGTATGGTGAGAGTCAGACATCATCCCAAGAGACATTCTTAAGAAAACAAAAAACAAAAAACCCTTAGTATTAATTTATGTGATGCACTTGACGTTTGGTTCTGTCCAGACTCAGGAGGGATGCCAAGCTAGAACTGAGGGAGAGGGAAAAGTGACCACAGGGCACCCTCTGGTGGTCAGGCTGACCCACTACAATTCATGGCTGGAGCCTGTGCCCCTGGGAAGGAAACCTGAACATCTCAGGGTTTTAGCATCCCAGATGTGGAGGGGAATCTTCTGTGGAGAGAGTGTTCCACAGGTCTTCTAGCTGGGCAGTATGGCAGTAAAACAGGCAAGCATTGTGGAATCTGCCATAAATGACTCATTATTGGAGTGAAAATGCTGTAGGAACAGCCCCTCTGTAAATCACTGGGACAAATGACTAAACTAGATCTAGGGCCCTCTGCCCCATACAAGCGTTTCTCTTTCTTTCTTTGCTTCCTCCACTTGGCTGTCATGAGCCCGCAAGGGGCACTCTTCCTTGAAGCTGAAGCTGTGTTTTTATGCCGTGGAAACAGCAGTCACTGTGGTCCCCCACCCCAACACTTTATGGGTGCTCCTCTTCTTGGCTCTGTGAGCTTTCAGGAAGTACAGATGGACAGAGGAAGGCTGGGAAGGAGATAATTCAAATGATCCCTTTGTCCTCTCATCCCGGGAGGGATGCCTTTGATATTGATCAATACACAGATGTCACATCGCTGTTCGTGTAAGTCCCTTGAGTAACAAAAGCCCTGTGTTCTCTGGGAGTTGACCTCAGATCAGTTTCACGGTGGTGCCACATGTTACCGTAACCGCAGCACCTTAAAAATAAGGAGAGATAATATAAACAATGGTGCTTCAGTACTCCTAGGTTTTATTTTTCTTTGACTAAAGCCGATTGAGACACCCAAGGCCAGCTGGAGATGACCACACTGGCAGCTCAACAGTACAGACTTTCTCAGTCTGTGTCCGGATATCCTTGATTAACTGTAGCATCCTTTCAGGCTGATCATCTGTGGGTCATGACACAATAACAAAACCAGGGCAGAGGCATAGTATCTGGCAACCCCCACTTTGCAAATAACTGCGGCAGACCTGGCTCACTGCAGCAGAAGTTTGACACAGCAAGTGTTGGGTGGGTGACAGCTTGGTTCTGTAGTGGGAGGCTTGGCCTGCCTGTGTTTTCTTTTTCACTTAGCAAGTCCCTCAAAATCCTTCATTGGGGAATGCAAAGACTGCACAGTGGCCGACGGCGTACTTACCCTCACAGCAGCTTTGTGGCCATCATCCCTGATCCTCTGAGCAGCCCTGGATGAGCAGGGGAGGAGGCTGGGGAAGAGGGGTGGGCCTCTTCCTGATGGTGGGGTCTCCTGCAGCAGACACAGTCCAGGCCGACCTTGGGTCCCCAGGGACTCTAAGGCTTGCTCCACCTCCCCTTCTAGCCCATTTTGCTCAGGGCCAGTGACTCTTTTGGAGTAGTGACGCAGGGGGTGCCTCATGGACCGATGCTGACCTCCAGTTGGGTGGATACCCCAGAGGGAATCAATCAAACTAGCATTTTCCACTGTCTTTCCTTTTCTTTCTTTCTTCCTCCCTTTCTTTACCTCTCTCTCTTTTCCCTCTGTCCCTCCCTTCCTTTCCTTCCTTTCTACTGATCTAATTCAAATGCTTTAAACATTTAAGTAATTTACACAGTATACACTTTCCACTGAAACATGCAAACCCAATGTCAGTAGTTATCACATGATTGCAAAACCATTTTGATAGCCCATTAAATTGGAAATTTCTTGTATTTTAGTAGTCAGTTCCTGCCAACATATACCACAAATCGCTACATGGGAACACTTGTTTATAATTTAAAGGCCTCCTAGAATGATCAAAGAAAATATAAAGTGACCTGCCAGGAATGCACTGGTCCTTAAGGGGGTTTTCCCACTGTGCATTTGAAGAAAATTCCATCACCATCAGAAGTTCTTTCCCTGAAAATCCTCAGGAAAATCATTTATTGTGAAAGCTCCTTGATCAGCGCCCATGACCAGATAGGGGAGTTGGGCAGAGTAGCTGAGTGAACTGGCCTGTGCTCTAATCTGTTGTAGACATTTGATTAGGCATCGGGCCATCAGGTCAAGTTGCTAGACAGCTCTAGATAACAACCATTTCCTTTGACTGCCCTGTGCAGATCCCACTGTGAGTACATTATTCATGCTGACAGCTCTGAATGCTGTTGTTCAGCTGGGTACCTGGTCCGCACCCAGATCAAGTATGGGACTCACTCTCGGGGACACAGTGAAACACTGGGACTCTATCACCTAGAAGAGTTGCTCTTCAGATGTCAGAATTTCAACTTGACAGCTGTTCCAAATTGCTCTTCTATAAGAGGCCAGGCCCAGCCTGA